GGAGCAAGGGCGGGACAGAGCCATCGCACTAACCCCCCTCTCTCCCCCTCCCCCCCTCCTCCTCCCTCCCCACTTCCCAACACCCTGAGGCAACATGGCGCTCTGCATGGCTGTGGTAGGTAGAGGTAAGAGGCATGGGGTGAAGGGGAGAGTGGGGAGGCGGTGGGAAGCATGGGAGCAAGTGGGAAGGTCACTCTCTCAGGGGCAGCATCCTCTAGGAATGTGCCTTGCGGGTCGGGTTGTGGTGGGTGGAATCTGCGCGGCACGGCACTCGGTGCTCAAGTAACTAACCTGACGTTAAGGCTTAATGGGCACCGTCAGAGTCGACCGGCCGGCGACTCTGGTTCGCGTCAGCTCTAGCTACGTCAGGGGTGGGATTTGAGTCTTGGGCTGGAAGCAATTTTCCACTACCACACCTCGCCCTTCAAGGCACAGCCCCTGGGGGTGCTGTTTCCGAAGAGGAGTGGGCTGTCTGCTGCTCCTACTGCTTGCAGGTAAGGTGGGGAGGGGATGGGTGGGCTGGGTGGTGATGGTGGTGATGGGGTGATGGCGGTAAGTGGCAGTGGGGTTGGTGGTGGCATATGATGAGCCATATGGCACTGATGCCACCCTTAAGCATGGAAGCATGATGCTCATGCTTGGCTGGTTGGGGGCACATGATGAGTGGCACTGATGCTACCCTTAAGCATGGAAGCATGATGCTCATGCTTGGCTGGTTGGGGGCACATGATGAGTGGCACTGATGCCACCCTTAAGCATGGAAGCATGATGCTCATGCTTGGCTGGTTGGGGGCACATGATGAGTGGCACTGATGCCACCCTTCCGCATGGAAGCATGATGCTCATGCTTGGTTGGTTGGGGGCACATGATGAGCTGCACTGATGCCGCCCTTAAGCATGGAAGCATGATGCTCATGCTTGGCTGGTTGGGGGCACATGATGAGTTGCACTGATGCCACCCTTAAGCATGGTCGCATGATGCTCATGCTTGGCTGGTTAGGGGCACATGATGAGTTGCACTGATGCCACCCGTGCATGGAAGCATGATGCTCATGCTTGGCTGGTTGGAGGCACATGATGAGTTGATGCCACCCGTGCATGGAAGCATGATGCTCATGCTTGGCTGGTTAGGGGCACATGATGAGTTGCACTGATGCCACCCGTGCATGGAAGCTTGATGCTCGTGAGTGGGTGAAAGGGGCTGATTCCCCTTGGGTGGGTGGGAGCAAGTGAAAGGGGCTGAGTCCCCTTGGGTGGGTGAGTGCAAGTGAAAGGGGCTGAGTTCCCTTGGGTGGGTGAGCATGATGCTCATGCTTGGTTGGTGGCACATGATGAGCCGTATGGCACTGATGCCACCTTTTGCTTGAGAGCATGATGCTTGGTTGGTCGCCATGATGAGTCGTGTGGCACTGATGCCACCTGTTGCTTGAGAGCATGATGCTCATGCTTGGTTGGTGGCACATGATGAGCTGTATGGCACTCATGTCACCTAATGCATGAGAGAATGATGCTCATGCTTGGTTGGTGGCAGATGATGAGCCGTATGGTATTGATGCCACCGGATGCATTAAAGTCTATGGTGGTGAGTCTGCTAAGGTGGGTGAGTGGGGGAGTGGGATGGTCAGGTGGGAGGTGGTGGGTAGTGGTGGAAACTGGGTGGTGGAGGTAAGAGGCAGAGGGAATTGGATGGTCAGGTGGGAGGTTGTTGTGAGGGTGGTGGAGAGTTGCAGGGGCGAGCAGACGGATGATGGAATGAGCAAGTTTGAGAAAGCGCCAATGATGTAGCATACAAAACACAGGGCTGGATTTTGGTGGAATAGAAAATGCGGGAGATTGGTGGAGATGCAGCTGGGTGGACGGACGACAGTGTGCTTGGGATGGTAGCTGCTCTGCCACATACCTTCTGTCGTACAGGTGCTGCTTTCAGCGAGGTGACTGGCATTGCTGCTTGTTGTGGTGCTGGCGGTATTGCTGTGGAGCTGCTGTGGTCGGTAAGGGATTGGCTGGGAGGTTTGGAAAGTACCTATGAGCAGCGGCATCAACTAGCAGAAGGCAGAGTATGCTGGGTAGGGATTAGATTAGAGTCATGTTTCAGCAATCGTAAAAAGAGCTAGGGTCCACAGAGCATATTCTTTCACCGCAAAAAATAACCTGATTTTTTACAATGCTATGTATTACGATGTAAAAAGGTGACAAGTGTCCTGGGAGATTAAGGTGGTGCATGCTGATAGGGTAGGTTGAATTTCCTAACAACCATAGATATTGGTGATTCTAATATTACTGAAATGTTACTCTCATATCTACAGTATCCCATCAAATCATGTTATGCACATTATAATCCCTGAAACTTGAGCTCAACCAGAAAGCGGGCCATCACATGAGCGTCTGTCAGGGACTCTGATTATGTTGAAGCGGAGTTCCGAGTGCGTTTGCCCCAGGGTCCGAGGCCTTGGATCTGTGTGATCCGGACTCCGAAGGGCATGGGCGCAAGGCTCCGCTGCATACGACAAGGCCAACCTTGCACAGTTCCGCGCCCACCTGACCGTGAAAACTGGGTTTCGAACCAACCTGCCCGTGACCCTGTTTGCGACTGTTGTTGATCGCGAATGACATATTTCGCACGGGTGACCGTTTGGCCGACAGTTGACGGGCGCCGGTCGCATGGCCGGTTGCGACCAACTGGCCGTCTCTGCGTCGTTTTAAGCATTGACTTGATTTAGCGTGTTACTCTCATTTTAACGCCGCATTTGCTGTATTCATTGCTGACATTGCTATTTGTGTTTAGGGGTCGATTTTAACCAAGTGTAGTCATTCTGCACACGTGGCGATGGCAACGGGTTCTGTCAGTAATCCATGGGTGCAGGAGCCAATAGGCGACGAACAGCGAACCATCTCCATGCAGTTTTTTGGCGGGAGAATTCCTACCCAGGGTTGGCAGACCAGATCTGGACAAGGGCTTGTATGTGCTGTTTGGGTATGAATGGGTGTTTTTGTGCTCATTTGCTTGTTTTCATTTGCCTTTCATGGTCCGCTAGCTCTTTGAGATCTTTTCATCCATCAGTACGTGTTACGCACCAGCGTAGTCTTGTCAGCCTGCTGGAGCCACCGGCAGAACACTTGCGTCCTCGACGTAGCGTGGTAGGTCGTATAGGTTCCTTTTTTTTTTTGGGTCAGCCCGGTTTAGGATATCATCTGTCGGACATATTCGGTCGCTTATGTAGGCGCATATGTATGCGGTTGAGCATATTTGATCGGCAGAACTGTAGGCTGTCGACCTATATCTTTGTCGTATGTCGTCCGGTTAGGTAGCCGCAGATGTTAGTCGGGGTGATTTAGATCCGTAGAAGTATTCGGTCTAGATCCATTCAATAGTAGACCTTAGGACGTTCATGTTCAAGCATAAGGTTGTCGTAGAGAACTGGATATGCAGAATACTCAGAACTTGTTTTCGGTGATTGATTGTAGAAAATTATATCGGTAGAACAATAGGGTGCCGAACTATACGCAAGTTGTATGCGCGGATAGATTTCAAAGTACGGTAGAATAGTCGGCATTCGTAGACCAATGTGCAGACGTCCGACTAAGAGACGCTCTTAAGACTTCTGCGCTTAGCCCAATATGCATTCTGCCTAATTTCTGTGCATACCAGCGAATCCTTTCCACTTCCTTTATCTGACCTCCCATTTTTTTTGGTCTAGACTGGGTGCTTCGCGTATAAAATAGGCATCTGCCAATGGCCGACGCAACGGTCCAGCCTCGCCCAGTGTCTGCCCATGATGCAGAGGGTGAAGAAGAGGACCTGGACGACGAAGAAAATACCGTAGAAGACTACGCAGGGGATCGCGAGAACGATCTCGAGTTTGACACGACCGAGGACGATTTGTTTGAAGGTCGTCCCTACGCGCCGACCATCGTGATTGAGGAAGCCGAGGGGAGTGAAGGGGGTGAAGGACCGGGAGTCGGTGAAGTGCGCCGACGACCCGGTGAGGCCGAAGAAGCTTACGAGGAGGATGGAGATCACTCTGACAGTGAAGAAGAGGGAGGATCATCGCGCCGAGGACGACAACGCTCCGCTGTGAGCCACGTCGAGCAGGGTGCGGCGGCAGAAAATGGGCAGCGGCAAGAAGGCGTTGCGGAAAATGCGAGCAGGATCGAGCATTCAACAATCCCTCTTCGACTGATAGAGGAAGACACGAGAAGGCACTATTGTTTCCACTTTCTCCACTTCAAGTGGTGGGTGATAATCTTCATGGCAACGATGGTGGATGTCCCTGTGTTCGATAGGCTGGCTCCCTCTCTACACGACGAGGTTGGGTTTCATCTGAACAATGACTTGGGAAATGATCGGTGGTCGAACAGCTCTGACCAGTGGGAGATTCATCTGCACGGGCCGCGAGTCACAAACTGGAGGCTGGGCCGATACATCGAGTTCCTCTTCCGCGAAATAGACGACCAGGCAAAGCTATTGCGTGGTAAAATACGGCCAGACGTTGAGAAGTGGGTGGGGAAGGAGGCCAAGGGGTGCACGCCTTCCATGATCAAGGCAAAGATGAACGCGATGGGATGCCTTGCCAGATGCGAGGCGAGGCTCTACGACTTCTCCATCACACTGACCAAGGACTGGATCAAGGAGGCTCGGGATTTTCTGAAAGTGAAGTTGAAGGAGCTGAACGAAAAACAAGTCGCGTGAGTAACTTAGTGGTGTGCTTTCTGCTTGTGTAATTCCTTTTCTACATTTCGTACCTAAGTACTGCGTTCTTTGATGCAGAGATGGTCGAGATCAAACCCGCGGATCAATTGGCGATTGCTATACGGCAACCCAGTATAGGACGCTACATCACACGGTTCTGCGAAGAGAGCTCCTACAAATCTGGTGGCGGTCGCCTCCGGCACAAATCTCGCTTCCTCTCTGGAAGGCTCTGCAGACGCCGGTTATGATGCACCTCGGACACCAATTTCTGGGAAGAGGGTGCAGCATTCGAAAGATTCGCCTTCCGAACATGTTTGTCCGCATGACGCGGAGCACCACACACCTCGACGACGATCTGGACGTCTTTGTACTCGTTGTCGTCTCCAGGAAATCGAAGACCAACCTCACCAACAAGCTGAGTCACCAGTTTCTTGCAAGGCATAGGGACTGGCGGCTCTGCGGAATGGGCCATGTTTTCCTCTGGCTTCATTTCATCTACGACCTCGTTCCTCTGCGATACGGCCCCGGTATTGTCGAGCCTCTCGACTTTTCCGAACCGCTCAAGTGGACTAAAACGCACCTCTTCTTTTGCTTGAACCAGAAGAAGGACAAGGGAAAGCAGAAGCAAGACGAGATGCACTACAAAACGCACTGCACTTGGATTAAGTGGGCAATCGACAAGGCGAAATGGATTCTGAGCAAGGTGACACATGCGTTCCGCAGATCTGGTGCGCAACAACTCCATGACGACGGTTGCTCCGACAACGATATCGCCACTCTGGGCGGATGGGAGGTGGGCGAGATGCGGAGGTCTTATGTGTTTGGCATTCCGTTCAAGCCGGTTTGGCTTCTGGCTGGATTCAGCGGGGATCGTGGAGACTACTACATCGGCAGAGCCCGCGCTAAGCTTCCGCGCCATAAGGATAAAGTGAAAGATGAGTGGTTGCAGCTGCTGGATCTCATGAGGCAGAACATCTTCCCCTGGGTCGAGGAGGGGTGGAAGAAGGTACGTGCGAGGGTAAGAGTCTGCGCGTTCCAATGTGGAACTGTATACGCATTTATTTACCGTCGCATTTCTACTGTCTACTCGTCCCCTCAGGTGGAGGCGTGGAACGATGCTCAGACCGACGAGCTGAAGAGGCACTATGCGGGGTTTAGGTTCCTCGAGACCCTCGCGACCATCGGACGCTTCGTTGTTGCACGGGATCTGGCTATGATGTGGGCGTTCTGCCATCAGCACGGCGTGAAAATCCCGCGGTGCAATTGCGAGCGGCATCCATACGTGCAGATGAGCCCCTTGTGCAAGCACCCATTGTTCCAAAAGTGGGCGTACCTGGTCGCTAGCTATCACTTTAAGGGCGAGAAGCTTCGGAAAACCAGCCAAACAACCGCCAAAGCAGTAAGTGTCTGCTTTTAGTGGTAGAGAGAGTCATCCGTTTAAGCAGAGTTCTGACGAGTGTGTTTCTGCAGGATGCTATTTTTCGCACGACCGCCGAGGAAAAGCTGCAGAAGATGCACCTCATCGCCAATGAACTCAGGGAGGATCTTGGTAGGTCGAAAGGACGTGAAACGCAGTTGGTGTTGGAGAACCAGAAACTGAGGGAGGAACGCGATGCTGAGCGAGAGGACAAGGCTCGGGTCATTGCAGAGTTCGAAGCATACAAGAGGTCGGTTGAGGCCAGGAAAGCCGCTGCAGACAACCCTGCAGAGGTCGACGGATCGTCGAAGGGCACTGGGGTAGGTCCAAGTCAGTCAACGGACGCACCGAAAGGACTAGTTGTGGTCGAAGAGTTCTTTGTCGTGGCCGTTGTGCCTTGGCGCCAATTCAAGACAGTGGCGGCTGCGTGGAAACTGTGGGTGCAGTCAATCTACGTCATGGGCGGCAAGTCTGTGAGCGATGTCTTTGTAGAGTTCGACCGGGATCCGAACAAGAACAACAGCTTCTTCACCGCATATGCCCGGTTCGCGCCTAAAGGTGTGCCCCAGATGTCCGAGTCTGGATGTGAGCGGAAGATGCGTCACGTGCAGCTTGTCATGGAAGCCGTGGAGACATTTAGAGAAGACAGTTCCGAGGCGGCGACCGCAGCGGCTGTTAACCAGCTCGACGATGTGCGCCTCTTATGCAACTTCACGGAGTTCACCAACGGTCTGGCGGTGCTGCGTGAGACTCCCGCCAACAAGAAACAGAAAACTGGGTCGTCGACCGAAAAGAAGACCGGGAACGACGTGGCGCAACGCAGAGTGAGCTGGCTGATAGTAAAAATGGGGCTGCGCGACGAAGCGTGGGGAACAGCGCTCTTTGGGGATGATGAGTGGGGGGTGATCAACAAGGAAGAGCTGGCGAAGGAGAAGGCGGAAGAGGAGAAAAAACGAGCTGCAGAGGCGAAGAAGGCGGAACGGGAAAAGGCAAAGGCGGCTGCTTCGAAACGTTAGACGTAGAAATTAGTGTTTAGGGATTCCTCATAGACGTCGAGTCCACTACGGTTTGGAGGTTATGCCGAATTGGATAGGGATATTACTCTACGCTTTGGGGGGAAAGGTATTAAACGACTGGTATACATTTCTGGCATATGCCCCACAAACACTGTACTGTTTATGCCTATGCGACAGCAGAATTCTACATCCAATATTTTCCAATTACTGCATGGATCGTTGGGTCATAGATGTGCGGTGGATTATTCGGCTGTTACTTGTAGATGTGCGTTGAGGAAGCACACATAGTTACATAGCACCATGCATTTTTCCGCGAGTTCGTGTCGTATACGATCATACTTTACGGTTCGGCGTCGATGTATTCATTATCAGCATATGTTCCGGGGCAGAAGAGTTTGATATTCTACTCGTACCAACGAGTTCCCTATCCATGACGTGTTCATATGCGTAGGGTTATCTTATGCGGTAGGATGCCGTAGACGCTTGTTTTCTACCGCATTGTGCGCGGACGTATACGATCTTCTGCAGAGGCGGTTTTTCATTTTGTATAGGCCTTTCCAAAATTGTAGATGTTTGTTCTTAGGCCACTCGGTCGACTTATGCGTTGTTAACGAACCCGTAGATGTTATCCCTACGAGGGTTTTCTGCGGTATAGTGTCGTATCCGACTTGGATCGTCGATTCGGCGTCGATGAATTCAATCTCCACGGCAGATGTGTCTGTGAATTTGATCGTCGTATACGATTCGTGGCAAGGTGCTCCGTATGTCAAGATCTTATGCGTAGGTTTAGCCCCTTCGTTCGAAAGCCGAAGCCGTAGTCTATACTGTTGGCCGATGACGTCCTCGATCTTCTACGTATGCGGATCTCCAGCTGTTTCGTGTCGTAGACCATATGTCTTCAGGTGATGGCGACGATGGCTTTGATCGTATGCATAGGCTCTGCTTCTGCCATCACCTGTGGAAGATCATTTGTAACTAGGGATTGTATTGATTTGAAGTATTTGTCGTAGAAGCCGGGTATTTTCCGCAGGTGAAGTGTCATAGAAGCCCTATGTTTATACAAGGTTTAAAAAGACCACAAAATAACATTTTCTACAGCGGTCCTAACAAGACCTCCAAAAAACCCATCCCCTTATCACTCCTGCCCGCCGGTGCTGGTGTTGTCCTCCGTCGACGCCCCCTTCGTCGCGTTCCCCTTCGCAGACGACTTTTTGGTCTTCTTCTCCTTATCCGCCCCGGTTGTAGTGTCCCGGCTGCCCATTTTCTTCTGCAGGACTCCGAGGCTGACGCCCTGGTGCTGGCGAAGGCCTCTTGATGCCATGCTGCATAGGCACCAAGAGGTCACCACCTTTGCCACCACCCTCGTCATCCTCTTCGTATCCCCGCCCGTGAGCGACCCTGCCGGAAGCGCTTTCAGCAGCGCATCCGACAGGGGCGGAATCCACGCTTCCTTGTCATGCTCCTGATCCTCGACCGACCTCATCGCATCTACTGCAGCGCAAGCAATAGAGGCTGCAAGCGGCGCAAGGGCATCGAGGACGGTAGAGGATACCGCTGCAGTAGAAGATGACGAGGAAGCAGACGAGGCGGTGACAGCAGAGACCGAGTGGGCAGCCGATGTTGCGATGGCCGTAGAAGTTTTTACGGCAGCATTTGAGGCGCTCGTCTGCCACTGGGTCCGGTCCACATTCGTGGACGCATCCCACAGTACAGACAATGTCGCGGCTAGTCCGATTGTGTGTTCTTCTGTAGAGTAGCCGTTTTCACCCTCCACGCCTCCCACGATCTTCTGCCACGCAGTTATTCCAACAGCAGCGCAGACAACAACCTGAAAGCCATCCCTCTGCTGCTGCCGAAGAGCAGCCGTGTTGGTTTGAACGAGTGAGAATCTGCACAAGCCACCCATGTTGGAATATAAAAACCATCGAAGTTCGCGTGTGTGTAGAAGTTGCAACTTTCCATCGCAAAAACACTCACCTGTCTGGTTTGTCGAGGTGGAGCTCGTTTAGGACGCTCCACACACCCGTAGGAAGCCATGTCGTGAACCCGAGGTCTTCGCGCCACGCGTTTAAACGGTTGGATTTATTCCGTAGGCCTCCATGTCAATGTTCGGGAAAAAGAACCTCCAGCACACTGCGACCGTGTATCCCCTCTCCCACACCGTTTTGTGGGAGCCGAGGTTCCGCTTCCGGCCGCCGACGGTCTGCTCTGACGTCCACTTCTGCAGTGGTCCCTCACCTCGTTGGGAGAACCCGCTTCCCCTGAATGGCAGCCGGACACCCAAAGTCTTACCCAAACCGTCCACTACGGCGTTTCTCCGATTATCACACTTGTCGATCTTCTGCCCTTTTATTTCTCCTTCGGTAACCGGTATCAACTCCTGTATGCCAGCTGCCCGGCGTCTCTTAGACGCGTGACCCTCCGGCTCCCTGTCCTCCTGCCTAGGCCTCCTCCTGGACACCTCTACGGTCTGCACGGGAACAATAGCCACGCAATCTGCTACATTCGCCTCCCCGCTCTCCTCCAAACTCACCCTCCCCAGGCCCTCTGTTATTTCCTCCTCGACTCCCTCCCCGGTCCCCTCCCCCTGCATGGTCGAATCCTCCTCCTCCATCTCCCGTGCCAAACGTTCCGTCTCTTCCGCCATAGCCTTTACCTTTGCCTCCAGAAGCCGCTGCTTTTCCGCGTGGGATGCAAGTCTGGCCCTCTTCTCTGCTCGACGATGCCGCCGCTCTTCCTCCTGCTGTTTCTCCCTCTGCTGCCGCTCGGCCTCCTCTGCCTCCTTCCTCTGCACATCCTGCTTCTGCAGGCGCTCCATCTCCTGCTGTTTCTCCCTCTGCTGCCGGTCTGCCTCCTCTGCCTCCTTCCTCTGCGCATCCTCCTTCTGCAGGCGCTCCATCTCCTGTTGTTTCTCCATCTGCTGCCGGTCTGCCTCCTCTGCCTCCTTCCTCTGCGCATCCTCCTTCTGCAGGCGCTCCATCTCCTGGTGTTTCTCCCTCTGCTGCCGGTCTGCCTCCCTTGCCTCCTTCCTCTGCGCATCCTCCTTCTGCAGGCGCTCCATCTCCTGCTATTTCTCCATCTGCTGCCGGTCTGCCTCCTCTGCCTCCTTCCTCTGCGCATCCTCCTTCTGCAAGCACTCCATCTCCTGCTGTTTCTCCATCTGCTGCCGGTCTGCCTCCTCTGCCTCCTTCCTCTGCGCATCCTCCTTCTGCAGGCACTCCATCTCCTGCTGTTTCTCCGTCTGCTGCCGGTCTGCCTCCTGTAGCCGCTCCACCTCTTGCTGTTTCTCCCTCTGCAGATGGTCGGCCTCCGTTGCCTTCTTACTCTGCTCCTCCTCTGTTTGCCGCTGCGGGAGTCACGGCTGGTGCGAATACCGTCGTACAGGCCGAGGGAGTTTTTCTACTACACACTGGAGTACACGGTTAACGGTGTGCTATATGGAAAGCGGGCGGAAGTTGACAAGAAGGGTCACATATCTGCGTTGGAGTACGCCAGTGTGGTATCGGTCGACCATTTAATCGCCACACCTATGGCGGTCATAGAGGGGAGGATGCGTGGCTTACTGGGCGACCCGAGGTCACGACTGCTGCACTCGCCAATCTGCGATAAGGGGGAACGAGCTGAACTAAGACAACTGCGAAGGGCAATGAGGCCTTCACCTGCTCAGCCCAAACAACAACTGCAGTGGGAGGAAAGGAGGGGGAGAAAGATTGACTGGAGGAGAGCCATCAAGATTCGTGACTCACTTGCAACCCCAGCCAGGGCACGGGAAGTGGTGCTGAGGGTGCACAGCAACAACCTGCAGGTGGGGGAGAGACTTCCGTTCCTGGGCGCGAGGGCGCGCTGTGTTCATTGCGGGGAGGTGGAGTCACAGGACCATTGCCTTTTCAGCTGCCCCACGATACAACCAGTGGTGGGGGTGATGAAGAGGGCAGTACGATGTATGAACCCGGGCAGGTGCATGGAGAGCCTCGGAGACATGATGTTCCAGAAAAGCAGCACGTCGACGGGTTTTCCGGAGGCGGCTTTCATCTCGATCACAGCACACCAAGTCTGGCTAGAGAGGTGTAACGCGGTTTTCAGGGGCAGTCGGTTCCAGCCAAAAAGGGCACTGCAGCGCATAGCGGTGAGCTTCACAAGACACGTGAAGATCTACAGCCGGGCTCGGAAAAGGGTGGCTGGCAAGAGGGCTCCGAAAAAGACAGGTGACTGGAGTCATTTGGCAGCTGACGAGGCGGATGTCATGCGCAAATTGTACCAATGCGAAGCTTCGATGACGTGGAAGGCAGGTTTCAAGGCAATTTGGGAAGATGGTGGGGTGGCTTTCCAACCTCCGTAGAGATGAAGAGGGGGGAAATGTTTCTCGAATCATTTAGCCCTCCTAGAAACAGTTACGACTGCGGATGTATGGATGCACGTTGTATACTTATATCCACCAAAAAAAAAAAAAATTTGCCGCTGCTCCTCCTCCTGATGTTTCTCCCTCTTCAGCCGCTCGGCGTCCACTCTCAGAACCACTGCCAACCTCTTCTCCACCTCACTTAGCATCCCCTCCTTCAACTCCTTCATCCCCGACTTCATCTCCTTCACAGCCTCCATCATCTCCTTTATTCCATCCTCCACATCCTTCTGCCGCCGCTCTTCGTCCAGCTGTTTCTTCTTCCTCAACCGCTCTGTGGCCTCTGCTTCCTTTGTCTTCTCCTCTTCCTCCTTTTGTCTCTCCCTCCTCTGCCGCTCGGAGTCCTCTGCCAGAACCGCTGTCAGCCCCTCTACCACCTGCTTTACCATCCCATCCTTAGTCTCCTTCAAACCTGCCTTCATCTCCTTCATCACCTTCATCAATTCCGTCATCTCCTTCATCCCCTCTCTCGTCGCCTTCTGCAGGCGCTCCATCTCCCGCTGATTCTCCTTCTTCCGTCTCTCAGACTCTTCAGCTACCTTTTTGCTCGCCTCCTCTTTCTGCCTACGCTCATCCTCCCGTTGTTTCTCCTTCTTCAGCCGCTCGGCAGCCTCTGCTTCCTTCTTTTTCGCCTCCTCCTTCTGCCGCCGATTCTCCGCCTGCTGTATCTCCCTGTTCCGCCGCTCGGAGTCTTGTCTCAGAACCTCTGTCAGCCTCTCTACACCCTCCCTTATCATCCCCTCCTTCAACTCCCCTCCCGACTAGCAAACCTGATCTTTAACGCTTTGCATACTGGCCTGCAAGGTAGAGAGAGTGGAACGGATCTGCTCGCGAAACTCGGCCGCCGTTTGCGCTTCCCGCTGCCGTTCTTCGTTTCCATGTCGGACCTCTGCTAAGTTGGCGAGGGCGTCGCGACAGTAATGGGCAGTCAGATCATGGACGTCACGAATGATACTCCTGTTGCGGGCCGTAAAGTTACAGAAGGTCTGTGTCATCATTCGCGCTATTAGGGTCAGACGACGCGTGACCTCTCCTGGGGTGATGTCCCAGCTCTCCTCCTCGACGAACCCGTCCTCCTGTTCAACCAGGACCGTACTCGTGCGCCGCAGCATCCGCCGAATGGCCGCCTCTGCCTCCACCCACTCTACCTCCACCCACGTCGGCATTTGAGGTCCGCTCTCCTCTAACTCTCTCTCGTGCTCCCTCTGCATTTGACGTTCCACTACAACCCTCGCCGCGCCATCTTCAACCCCTCTACTTGACCTCTCCATTGTATTTCCCAAAAACCTCCGCACCCACGGATCTACCCCATCCTCCCCTCTATCAGCGGCAACTGTCCTGTGTTCTTCACGTCCTATTCGATCATCTGCTGCCGACTGAATCGGCTCCATGTCAGCCCTCCTCTGCACCCCTTGGTCCTCCAAAATCCTCGCGTCATTTCCGGTTTTCTGCGCCTCCTCCTCCGCTGCTTTCTGCGCATCTGCAGCCTCCTTCCTCTTCACCTCCTCATCAGCAAGCTTCGACGCCTTTGCAGCCTCCTTCCTCTTCGCCTCCTCATCCGCAAGCTTCGACGCCTCTGCAGCCTCCTTCCTCTTCGCCTCCTCATCAGCAAGCTTCGACGCCTCCGCAGCCTCCTTCCTCTTCACCTCCTCATCCGCAAGCTTCGACGCCTCCGCAGCCTCCTTACTCTTTGCCTCCACATCTGCATTCTTCGACGCCTCTGCAGACGCATTTTTCTTCTCCTCCTCCTCCGCGGTCTTATGAGCCTCAGGAGTCTCAGCACTCTTCGCCTCCTCCTCCGCGATCTTCGACGCATCTGTAGCCTCTTTCCTCTGCGCCTCCTCATCTGCAAGCTTCGATGCCTCTGCAGCCTCCTTCTTCTTCGCCTCCTCCTCCGCTGGCTTCGATGCCTCTGCAGCCTCCTTCCTCTTCGCCTCCTCCTCCGTAATCTTCGACGCCTCTAGAGTCTCCTCCATATTCGCCTCCTCCTCTGCACTCTTTGATGCATCTGCGGCCTCCTTCCTCTTCCCCTTCTCGTCCGCAAGCTTCGATGCCTCCTCCGGATTCTTCTGCACATCCTCCTCTGCGAAGTTCTGCTCCTCTACAACCGCAATCGTCTGCCAGTCGACCTCTTCAGTCCTATGGGCCTTTGCATCTGCTGTCGTCTGCGTCTCAGCATCTGCCTTTTGCTGCGCCGGCGCATCCGCCATCTTCGGCGCTCCTGCTTCTGCGAGCTTCTGCGTCTCCTCCGCCGCCTTATTCTGCGCCCCTGCATCCGCGACCTTCTGTGCTTCTGCATCATTCTTCCTCTGCTTATCCACCGCCGCGATTCTCCGCGCCTCTGCGTCCGCCTTTTGCAGCACATCCGCCTCCGCTATCTTCGGCGCCTGTGCATTTGCAAGCATCCTCGCCTACGCCACTGCGCCTTCCCGAAATTCTACCGCCCTCTTCTTATGCGCCTCATCATCTACCTCCTTTTGCGCCTTTTCGGTCGCCTCTGGCTCGTCGACGTCCACTCTCTGTGCCTCTTCGGCCACCTTCCGCTTTACCCTTGATGCGCAACTTTTCAAGAAACCCACGTCCTTCTCTGTCCGCTGCCGAAGATTGCAGGCGAGATCCACTCCTCCCACTCCAACGTCTGCACATGCCACGCCGCGTCCCACACGCTCCATAGCATCACGGGTGTCACTCGGTTGCAGCGGATCTTCTACACCCGCCTCTCCCGGTTGCTGCGGATCTTCTACACCCTCCTCGCCTTCCTCCAATCCCCCCGCCAGGTCCGTCTGCAAGTTTCCAGCCAGCGTCCCCACCCCTTCTCTCTTCGTCTCGGTGTCGCGACGAGCAGACCTCCTAACACGTTCCGAAAACCTGAGCTGTCGTCCTCCCCTCCTCCCCCGTTCATCTGCTGCGGTTATCCATTCTCCCGGACCAGGGGCTCTGCGCCTCCGGGAATAAGGTACTTCCGCAACCGTTGGCGCCACTTCTTCTACTGCCGCGGCACCGTCTCCCCGCCTGTCGTCCTCGCGTGCACTTCTCTGCATCGACGCCACCGTCACCGCCTCAGCCCTCCCAACTCTGCCGTCTTGGTTCGTCTCCGCATCTTCGACCCTTTCCTCCACCGTCTCCACCTCGTCAGTCGCCTCATTCCCTACAGCAGGTGCATCGTCCTTAAACTGGTCGAAATAGGCACGGCATCCACTCACAAGCATATATCCGACCTCGTCCTTCTTATTTTTGCCGGCGCCTAAGTTGATCATGTTGTCTCCGCTCTGCAGCGCCAGGAGGTCTCCCCACTTGTCCAAGAGCTTGCTAAACAGGTGAGTCACTTGTAGGCCAGATCCCACCTCATGCCGGCCCTGCACCTTGTTGATCTGCAGTAAACCAAAGAAGAAACAAGTAATGCGTTAGCGCACGAAGACCTTTCACACAATGTTTAGCTTACGCAACCATAATGAATGTAAACATACAGCTCCAATTTCGACGTCCAAACAGTCGAGTCGGACTTTCATGTCGCAGATGACCTCTCCCATATGCCCGCCTCTATATACGCCGCCTCTGGTGTACTCGACCTCTAGTTGCTCGAAAAGCCACCTGTATCGATTGAAAGGGAAGTTAGATCTTGTATTCCCCGTGCGGCATAATGATAGGCAAAACGTTAAAAAAAAAGGCTTACTTAGAAACGTTGATAGCAAACTGGGTGTGGCGACGGCCAGGAATAGCAGACTTGGGGTTGAAGTGAATGACGCGCGTACGGTATTCGCCTCGCGGGGAGGCCAGCAAATCCTTGGGATTCAATAGAACCATAAGGCTGATTGATGCGCTGGGGGGCTCCCGAACTCTGCCATACATTAGTTTAAGATACGAATGATTAAACGCACTTCTTGAAGATCTCAACTAATACATAATACAACACTTACGCAGAGAGAAGGGGTATGATAACCATCTGATAGTCGAGCAGAGTACGATAACCCCTTCGGCATGATGGCACACGTGTTTCCTCACTCCGCAAGCGACGGAGCTCGCTTGGAGCAGGAATCTTGACGTCCTTAAGCTCTCTTGGACCAAGCTTGTCCTTGGCAACTTCACTGCGTGGAGAACGGTCGATCGTGGGGTTATTCAGCGGCGTACGGCGGAAATATATGAACACAGAGGCGCTCATCATATGCAATATTAAAAGCGTAAACAACTTACAGAAGGCCGTACACTAGTAGAGCTTCGTTCCACTCTGTTTGGTTCCTGCACAAGCTGGCGTAGGATGCCTTTCCGAGTCGTACACGCACGCCACACCCCTCTGTAGTCAATACTCTGCGCATGGCTAACCTATTTTTTAAAGCGACGCATATGGTAGACTGTGAGGCCACAAGAGTACGGCCTAAACTACTGCTGAATATCAAGAAATAGGACTGTTAGACGATCGCCGACCTACGCAACGATTCGCGAGCTAACTATGGATGTAAGATTGGAGTAGAATCCCGAAAGTGAGCAGACTGCCAAGACTGAGCAGCATAAAGGGCTCCAGAACGAGAAATCAACCCACGCCCCCATCTCAACCTGTCGTGTTCACAGCTTCTTGGTACGACACGGTATAGTATGGTACGGGGGCCGCTGGTTTTGGCGCGCTTTGTTTCCTCGCACGTGATCAACCTTACTTAGACGAAGAACAGCAACGTTGGATTGCGCATGCAGATATGCGCGCCAGAATAAATATTCTGCGGATAGACTGGCAGAAATGCAGCCACGTACGTTTCCATAATCTTCTTCGACCAATGAATGTTGCGTGCAGAAGCAACCGTCAGACTTCAATCGATGTGGATTTCCAGTACGTTCATACACCAATCATGCATGCGCAGATGTCTACCTTATCTACAAGTCCTGCATAAACATACCGTCTCCCAACGACTGCATGGTCGCAAATCTGTTGCGGCTCCGTATATCGCACACACGGTCAGACCCTGAAAAAAAAAAACCATAATCGCCTCGGACGTGTGACAGGCTGTCCCGAGGTTGCCACGTAGAAGCGACCGCTCCGCATGTTTCCGTCGATAATTTCGACGCCTATGTGCAGAGAGCCACTGAGCAACATGTCAGAATGTTATAATTGTCTAGCCTGCAGTGGGGTACTCCATAGTGAGTACAGCCCAATTAGGGTTTGCTATATGTATCCAACTGCTTGCTAGTGAACATCCTCCTTTCTTCATTCTTACTTTCTACTGCTAGTTCTGACATGCTATCAGAGCAGGTCGATCCCCTTGGGTCGATCCTGTGGGTGGGCCCACCACCTCACTGCTTCCGCTGCTACTGCTACTCTGTGTGTTGCACGCCCCGTGGCGTGCGACGGATTTTTCATCCCGCCGCGCGCTCGGAGCGTGCGGCGGTTTTCTGCCCGCCGTGCGCCCCGAGGCGCGCGGCGGTTTTCTGCCCGCCGTGCGCCCCGAGGCGCGCGGCGGCTTTCTGCCCCGTCACTCCGCGCGTCGCTCCCGGGAGGCGCTGCGACGGGCGACGGGGACCCGCGCGTCGCCCCCCGTCGCCCGTCGCGGCCTGCGCGACCTGCGTAGGGCCCGCGCGCGGCCCGTACAGCCTGCGCGCGGCCCGTACGGGCTGCGCCAGGCCCGCGCGCGGCCCGTACGGGCTGCGCCAGGCCCGCGCGCGGCCCGTACGGGCAGCGCCAGGCCCGCGCGCGGCCCGTACGGACTGCGCCAGGCCAGGGCGCGCCTCGGGCCGCCCGCACGCGGTTCGTACGGGCTGCGCCAGGCCCGTGGGCGCCCTGTTTTCTCTGCCCCTGCGCTGCCCGCTGTCCCCCGTGCTTCTGACGGCGCCCCACCCCTGCTGCTGCCCGTTCTCCTGAATTAGGGTTTGGGGGTGGGGGGTATGGGGGTGCAGTTTCTGTGCGTCGTCCCCTCCTCCTCCTCCTCCGTCTCCCAGTGCTGCAGCTGCCGCTGAGGGGGGTGGGTGTGTGGGAGCCGAAGGAGTGGTACTAGGGGGGTGGCGTGCAAGTGGAGTTAGGAGTGAAGCAGTGGGTGTGTGGGGGGTGTGTGGGACAGTTGGAGGAGGTTGAGCGGAGGCTGCTGTCTTGTCGTCTGCAGCACCTGTAGTCCGGGGCGCACTGTCCTGGTAGCCCAGAGAGTCTGCTGCGCCTGTCGCCCGTGGGTCCGTTGCTCCTGTAGCTCCTCGTAGCCCGTGAGCCAGTTACTCCAGTAGTCCGGGGCGCTGTCTCGGTAGCCACTGTGCCAGCAGCTCCTGTTGCCCGTGTGTCTGCAACTTCAGCCGTCGTCTCCCATCTTCTATCCTCGCACAGTCCCTCCTCCTCCTCACTTGCCCGCTGTGATTACCTCTAGCTTTGCTTATAATTGTGAACTATTACTATGCTTGCTTGTTGTGCTGATTACACCCCACTTTGGCTATGGGGGTGTGTCAGAATGTTATAATTGTCTAGCCTGCAGTGGGGTACTCCATAGTGAGTACAGCCCAATTAGGGTTTGCTATATGTATCCAACTGCTTGCTAGTGAACATCCTCCTTTCTTCATTCTTACTTTCTACTGCTAGTTCTGACACAACATCACGTTAGCAAGTCTCTGTGCAGGCCGAGAGCGGCGTGTAGAGTGTTTCGCTTACCGTCTTAGGTGGAAATTGGTTCTAAAAAGAAATTGCAGGTACAAAATACTGCAAAAGGTAACTAAGTGACTTACAACATAAACAAATCGTGTCAACAAAGCGTAACTCATGTTGTGTGAATTAACCCTAGTCAAACAAAGTTCTGGTTTAGAATGACAGCTAAACAATGTGAGCAAACAAAAAAAAAAAAAAAAAAACGCATTTTTGCCCAAATCTGTTGCCCAATACCAGAGCATTAAAACCATAGCAAACCATCATGAAATTCCCTGAATTTTAGAGGGGAGTTTGGAATAGGTGTGATGAGGGTCCCCTCTGGAAATCATCTCATTTGCCCAAGGAGAAGTGGGTGATTCCACCTGCAACCTGATTCCAGGCATTTCTGCACAGAATTCTGCAGGCTGCTGCAGAACAAGGCTTGAAAACCATACCAAACCTTGGGCAAATGAGGTGAATTTTAGAGGGGAGTTTGGAATAGGTGTGATGAGGGTCCCCTCTGAAAATCATCCCATTTGCCCAAAGAGAAGTGGGTGATTCCACCTGCAACCTGATTCCAGGCATTTCTGCACAGAATTCTGCAGGCTGCTGCAGAACAAGGCTTGAAAACCATAGCAAACCTTGGGCAAATGAGGTGAATTTTAGAGGGGAGTTTGGAATAGGTGTGATGAGGGTACCCTCTGAAAATCATCCCATTTGCCCAAGGAGAAGTGGGTGATTCCACCTGCAACCTGATTCCAGGCATTTCTGCACAGAATTCTGCAGGCTGCTGCAGAACAAGGCTTGAAAACCATAGCAAACCTTTGGCAAATGAGGTGAATTTCAGAGGGGGGTCAGTAATAGGTGTGATGAGGGTCCCCTATCAAAATCAGGTCAAATGCCCGAGGAGAAGTGGTTGATTTCACTTGAAACATCACACCAGGCAATTCTGTACTGAATTTCTAGCACAGAAAACCCACCTATGGTGTGTGCACTGAGCTGTGAATGATGTGGGGGCCTGGAACAGGTGCCATAACACTAACAAACCAAAAACAAATGGTCACACCATAACACATGTGCATGACATCCAGAAAATGACATTGTAACCGCTAGGAGCAACCTTAGTTGAGCCAAAAGTGACAGAATGAATGATTTTGTCCAAAATAAAAAAATACATGCTAGCTTGAAGAGAACATCAAGGAGGTCGAGGAAATCTAGGTTTCATTCAAAATGAACCACAAATATCATATTTATGAGTCATTCCATGGGGAATTTGTACTTAGCCATTTTTACATTCTGTTTGTCAAAATTACAACCATGTGTATTGTAAGGAATTTTCCCGAATTCCGTATCGGGGTTGACTGCTTCGCGTACAACCCGATTTTCGGAGTTCACACGTTCGGCCGATTTCAACGCTGCCGAGGCTCCTCGCGTCGCCTTCGGCATTTCCATCGCCAAACCTGCACCCAACCTCGCTCGTCCGAGGTTTCCTCCTAGCTAGGCTAGCCCTACATTAGTCTGTGCATTCATTGTATCCGCAGTTCATTCAGTCACAGCCTCGTTATTCGTTTACCTGCGCACTCTCTTTTACAACTCATAACACTTGGTATCAGAGCTACTTTCCTAGTTCACCTCGCTTTTCGAGGGTAGTTTGGTGGCACGGGTGTGGTT